GGTCGTAGAAATGTGGTGATGAAAAGGAGTCAGTATTAAATATTATGATTATTTGACGAGACGGGTCGCATTACGGACAAGTTGGTTTTATTGATTTTTGACAATTTTATTCCTTTCTGGTTTGGTTCTACTCGTTAAATAGTTCCGTCCTGAGATTTAAATGACATGAAATGTGAGAATGTTTGTCTTCTTCTCTTTTATGTATGGACATATCAGTAGTCAAATCTCGGCTGAAAATTAATACATATCATTAGCTGGGATTTTGCATGAAATTGAATTAGCATCTCTGTACGAAATGGATAATATAGAAACTGACATGGGCACAAACGTATGGCAAATACGCTTCACGAATTTTAGCAGATTTCAGAGTTATGTACATATGCAAATCGCGACGATGTGCAGAACGAAGGGGAAAGTTTGAGGTCACTTTAGTCTACGATAAGTCCATGCAAAATAATGCATGTCCAGCCAGATTACATACATTTCGCCTCTTCCGTATTTCTAATTCTTACTTAAATAAATAGAATTTCACAGAAACTATTCAACTTCAATTTTCAAGACAGCCAACCAGCCACAAATCTTTAATTTATCTCCACCACCAAACTAAATGAGAAAGCAATTACAAATATTGTTTTTTCCTCTCCGGACCAAAACCAAAATTCGCTCATCCTAATCAAAATGTTTTTCTTTCCCTTTTAATAATCCTACGATTTCGTATTGTTTTGTTTTCCACGTCGAGAAGAAGAAGGAGCAGCTTTATGACCATTACTTATTCCATTCTCTCCTCTTGGATGTATCGTTGTTGAATGAAATAATATGAGCGTAGTAATAATAAAAGCTGATTTGGATAAAATGGGTAAAAGTGGGCAGAAAAGAGTCCTCCCCAATTTTGAGTTAATGCTAACGAGATAAGATTACTTTTCCGCTAAATCAGTCACTTCACTGCGGCTAAAATGAAATAAATGATGGTGGGATGAACATGCACAAGGCTTGCGAGGATTGTTGGTTGGTCGAATAAAGAGACGCGGTGGGAGGAGGTGGCTGATTAGACGGGAAATCTATCCTGCTCCAAATGTAAAATATTCATCGTGAATCGCCCAGAGTATGGATGGCCAATGGTGAATTCCAGTGTTTCGAGGGCAAGGAACCACTTGCAAGAAATAAGGGCAAAAAAGTGGTTTCTTGCAGCTAAATATTTTGACCTGCAAGAAATGCGAGGCGCAAGAAACTACGCCACGCAGCGAAATCTTCATACAACGCGTGGCTGGATGGCGCATATTTCTTGCACTTTTTTGCAGTTTCTTGCACATTGCAATTCTTGCATATTTTGCTGTGCAGTGCAAGAAATAACACAAAGAAATTGTTTTTTGCAGCTATTTTGACCTGCAAGAAATGTAAAGCGCAAGAAATTGTTTCCCGCCGTAATTCATTCATAGGGCGCGTGGCTATATCGCGCGTATTTCTTGCACGTCGCATTTCTCGCGTTTCATACTTTGCAATGCATGAAATTATTTCATTGAAATGCACCAAACCCGCAAGAAACGAAACCCTATCAAATCCAAACTTACCTCATTTTTATAAATACAATCTTCCCCTAAAATATTGTTAATCGATCTTTCGTAACAATGCAAAACGGACGTGATGGACATGCTGCCAAAGGTTCAAGTCACTTTTTTTTATTACATTTTATTTATTGAGCAAGAATCCTAAAACGTAAACGTGGTTAATAATCGAGTTGATTTTCTATTCGATAATTAAAAACGATAAATAATTGATAATTTATAATTTAGGGAATGGGAGGCGGACAGGTGAGGGAGAGATCGGTGCGAAATCTCACCCTTTTTAACACTATCCATTCAAAAGACAAGATTTATACGGAGGACGGATTGTAAAACAAAACATGTTTCTGAAGCAAAGCTGAAGATACATTATTAACGAAGTTGCTCTTATTTTTGTGTCTTTCTTAACTATTATTTTCTTTTTTGAAAATGATGATTAAGTTTTTGGCACCCGACCGAAAATTGGGAATTTGAGACACTTTTTTTACTTACAAAATCTGATGTACGATGCTTCATAAATGATATAAATGGTGAGATTTTGGTCCACACGTTTGATGAGAATTTGTTAACTGGGATTGTGAAAGTGGGCCGAACCCAATCAGACTGGCTGAGAAAAAGAGAAAGGAATAAATTCGCCGCAAATAATGGGCGTGAAAAATCCCTCTTTATCATCCACAAAGATGTTCAAACCTAACCATGCCTCCATTTTTTAAAAAGACTGATCCGACTCGACTTTTTACTCGGCAAGATTAAATAATAAGAAAAACAGGAAATACATACATACGTAGGAAAAGTTACAATAGAAAATTTAATGGCGATTAATTTCGTAATGTGTCATATATATTTTTCAGCAAGAATGTTATTCAATTTCAGTTTACAACTTTATATTTTATAGTTTGATTTGTACTTAGATTGCAATTTATATTTATAAATTTTAAAAATGCGATTTAAATTAGTTATTTGCTATTGCTCAAAGTCGTTTTGGAAAATCTATTCAAAATAAAATATTATGCTTTATTATTTCTACAGATAAGACGTTGGGCTGAAAGAAATTCAGATAAGGGTGCTATTTTTTCAAAGATATAAATGTGTAACAGTTAAAAATTTTGGGATGAGATACATACATATGTAGGTACATAGATTTGCAGATTTTGAAAAAATGCTACTGCTCAAAGTCATTTTCTAATACTTTACATAAAATATAACACCTTGTTAATTGCCAGATTAAAGTTTAGTCTTTGGGAAATTCAAATGTGGATGTTATTTTTTGAAGATCTAAATAAGTTACAATAGAAAACTTTAGGACGAGATAATAAATATATAAATTTACATATTTTGAAAAAAAACAAGACAATTAATTTACCAGTGCTTGACACCATTAACCATTTTGCAATAATTTAAATTAAATATATTTAAAAGTTTGTAATTGGTTAGATAGAATTCTCATCAGAAAAATGGAAATTTATAAAAGCGAAATATTTAGATAGAATATATTTTGCAGTAATTAAAAATAATAATTACGGGAATTTCTTTAGATTTTGAAAAAAAACACGACAATTAAAATTTGCTACTGTTTGACGCCAGATTACAATAATTCAATAAAATATGAAACTTTATTATTTGTCAGATTAATTGCGTAATAATGATCTAATCTTGTCGAAAATCTAAGCTTGTAAAAATTTTTAACTTTCTTATCCGACTGGGCTACTTAGAATTTTTGGCAATTAAAATTAAAATTTTCAATTCTTCCTTCGTAACAATCCTCATTCGGAAACGATCCCTTCTTAGGATTAGATTTACAGATTTTGAGAAAATGCGATTTAAATTAATTATTTGCTATTGCTCAAAGTCATTTTCAAATAACTAACATAAAAAACAATGGCTTGTTTAATCGCCAGATAAGCTTGTGAGCACAGAGAAATTCAGAAGAAGATGCCATTTTTTCGAAGATCTAAATGTGCAAAAAGCACCGGAAAATTTGGGGATGAGATAATATTTAGATTTACAGATTTTGAAAAACAATTAATTATCTGTTACTCTTTGACACCAGTTTGCAAAAATTTGAATAAATATAAAATTTCCTTAATATATATCAGATTGTGAGTATTCATAATACAAAGTAGGAATCTTTTTCTGAATCGACTGGACGACTTGGAATATAAATTCAGCTATTAAATTACAATTTCCAATTCCTCCTCGATCTGCCTGTTGTTGGACGGGCACGAAATGATCCTGCCGTTCCGAGATACTTAATATGGTCCCTGATTTATTGCTTTCTCGAGATGCAAACAAGGTGCCGATGATGCCCCATTTTCTCCGCATTTTCTTTGTGGGAAGCGTAAATTTTGGGAGATTCGACACCCAGCCCTCCCACTCCATCAGGATGCATTTGATACGAGTGATTACGTGTCTATATTTCATGCAAATCAGAAACCAGACAATAATCCGCTCTCCGTCCAGTCCAGTTCATTAAGTCAAATTCGTTTTGATCTTTGGCTCTTTCCACAAAAAAATTCTGATCGAATTTTACATATTGTGAGAATCGGAAAAAACTGCATGCTATGCAACGCGTATGAAACATTTCTTGGAAAGAAATGCATAAAGGAAAAGAAGATGATTCAGATCAGATTACATATATTTACTTATTTTGCTCTTATTCTTATTTAAACAGGGAGCATAAAATTGTTTTTTTTGCAATTACGTAATGCGAGCACTTTTCATCGTGAGATGATTTGATGCTTTTAAATGATTTGTTATTCTTATTAAAATTATATTTTTTTGTTAAAAAATCACAGCCAACATTAATTCCTGTTAAATGCTTTACCTACATATAATAATTGCATTTCTACAATTCTGTCATCTTGCGACTCCGGGTAGTCGTAGATTTTTGCGAGATTTTTCATTATGTAACTGTTTAGAAACTGCAATGTAATAAATTTTGCAATGTTTTTGTGATACGAAATTTAGCCGACTTTCTGATCGAATTTTACATATTGTGAGAATGAGAAAAAGTGCATGGTATGCTATTTTGAAGAATGAAGAAGCATTGCATTTGAGTTCCGGTAGAAACGACCTCAATGCCAACTGAACTGCATACTATGAGATCGATTTTCAATAAGTAGACTCGCCACCCGAGTTAGTTTGCATATATCCAGTGGCCGCGGAAGCCGTGGGGACATCTGGGAACATAAACATTGCAGGATAGGGGAGGGAGGGGTTTATATTACATGAGGAGATGATGGGGACATCGAATAACCGTTGGTCCCTCTGTCCCCACGCTTCCGCGGCCTATGCATATATTCAAAGGATTTTCAACCCTTTGTTTCCTTAAGGGACTGCATTTCTCGTCCATAAAAGCTAAAAGCTATTATTAAATTAAAGGTCGAAAACTTAAAAATAAGGAAAATCACGAGACCCTTGCTAGTTATTTTGTCACCGTCGTCGTTGACACTCACTAAATATTTTTACTTTCCAATAATTATGACGATTAGTGTCTCTCAGGGCTCAAACCTCCAAAGTTATTCTTTTACTCGTATCGAGAATGGGATTTCAGTGGGCACTTTACCGTTTTCAGGCGGTGGACGTGTCGTCGTCGACACAGACCGCAGAAGCATTTCATTAAACCCAAACGATAACAGTATTTTTTGTATGTTCAACATAACATTTGAAGTGGACATGACAGCAACCAGCGGTCAACAATCGGAGACTCTTAAGGTCACAATTGACGACGAATACATATTGGAAATGTCATTTCCCACTGGATCAGGGAAAAATATCGTCAGCGATATTAATGCTATTCGGCAACACTTCAATCTTCCACCACAATTGCAATAAAAGTAAGTCAATTTCCGTTTTTGTTTAGTAGTAATAATCATGATATACCTAATTCAAACTTTTAGGTACTACCTATGAGAAGGATCAACTTGTACAATCATGTCTATCCGTAAAAATCAATCTGCATCATCATGTTACATATAACAGGGAGCATGAAATTATTTGTTTTTGTAATTAAATAGTAAACGGTAATTGAATTTGTAATTGAATAGTATAGCGAGCACTTTTTATCTTTAGATGATTTGATAAGTATTTATAATGATCTTATTCTGAAAATTGTAATTTCTCGTGTTAAAAAATTGGAGCTACTATTTTCTGTCAAATAGTTTATAATAATTGTATCTCTAGAATGTTGTGCGACTCCGGGAAGTCAGGTCTTTACGATATTTATAGATTTATAACCATTTGGAAACTGCAAATAATTTTTCAAGGGTTTTGTGATACATAATTTTCACCGATTTCACACCGATTTCACACCGATTTTAGTTTTTGCTACTTTTAATATAATTATATTACCGTTAGATTTTATATTTTAGCATTATTTTAATTTTTTAAAACAGAAGGGGACATTTGTCTCGTTTACATATTTCTCCCCGTCATTTCACTGCAGACGGAATTATGCAATGTGTCGAAAGGTATCCAGTTTCAAAAAGTAAACATTACACGATTCTGTTATGTACATTTTGTAACATGGTTGCTAAATTATTTAAATCTTTGTTTATTACGTGGCTGCCAAAGTCAAACGTAGCAGCAAAATCCGTCATCTTATCTCATCTCATCTTATCCTCCGTCGTCATTTACTTTACATCACTTAAAACAAGAGATGCTCGTATCAAGCCTCTCATCTCTTTCTCCGCTGAGCTGACCACTCTACAAATTTCTCACAATTTGCTTTTTCCGTCATTTATTAGATGCACCACGAACCACGACAAGAAGGATCACGATTTGTGGTGTGGTTTGGCTTTCTTGTTTCACAAGTTGTGAAGAGGAGACCAAGATCGTGCAAATTTTTAAGATTTATCTCCCCAGTGAGTGAGATGACCTCACGCATAATGTTGTTGTGATCCAATGTCTTCTATTTGGTTGGCATTAACCCCAGTTCAAATTTCAAATGACTTGATTATCTCATTAAATTAGGGAAAAAGTTGGACATATTCCAGCAGAAGGAGGAGAACGTAATCTCACTCAAGTACGTAATAAATACTGTGTAAATCATAATAAATTCCGTTTATAAAATGCATAAAATATGACGGGTTGCTTAGCTTTCAGTCGAGAATAGATATTCGTGTCCATGTTAAGAAAATCTAGGGTTTCGTTGTGGTTTTAGTAACTTGCAAAAAAACCGGTTTTAACCAGTTTTGGACACTGAATTTTGGACGGGAGAAATGTCCAAAAGTGTCCAAAATAGAAAATGGGGCAAAATGTGACAGGTTCGTTATTATTGAATCTTTCGATAACCCGTTGACATGCATGTAATTTCCCATTAATTTTGTGCATTTTAATGTGTAAAATTTTAATGTGGTTTAGAAAATTTCTTAATTTCTCTTAAGAAAACATGTTAAAACAAAAGTTTTTCCAAATTACATGGTATTGCACACAAAAAAATGCTCAAAATTAATGAGAGATTAGTGCAAAAAAATCGCTAATAAAGAACTTGCAACTTTTTGCTCAATTTTCCAATATTGAACGCTTTTGGACATTTTGAACGTCCAAAATTATTTTGCACAATTTTTGTACAGAACGAAACACTGGAAATCTTTCCTAGCCCACCGACCAGTATAACATATAATACGTAGCAATTTGCATTATTCTTTGATCAACAAGGTAATAATAATAACAATAATAATAACGCGATGATGATGATTTCGGATAATGATAACAAACACCACACCACTTCTCTCACCACCACCAATTTCGCTACATTGGCCGAGCGAGCACTAATTGCTGGTCAAACTAGAAATAAAGTCATGTCGTACATATTTTTAATAAGACGAGTTCCTCCATCCAATCCAACCATCTCGCAATTAATCTAATATTCATTTCGTCCCCCGTTTTATGTTCATGTTCTAATTATTATTGGTAAATAAATATAAATGTTCCTTTCGTAATTTAATGGCAGATTTGCATGCCTAAGTAATAATGCCATCATTCTTGGGCTCGTTGATTAGCCAACTGGTTGTTGAGATGGGAAAAGAAGACGTGATAAGTAATTCCGTATACTTTTACTTTTATTTAGCACACGATGCAGCAAAAAATGACTTATTTTTAAGTTATGTAGATGTAATTTGACCAATTTGACTCTTTTTAAGTTATACAGATACACATTGTTGGACCGATTTTGCAATAAGTCTGACTTACTGGTTGGTCGTCGTCTCGTATTGTTCTAGACTTTCATGATTTGTCGAATAAGCAATAAATAAATCGATGATTTTCAGATAAGCCGTCATACCCGATGGATCGACAACCTTTGCTTGACTTTTCTGTTGCTGTTGTTGCCGTTAAAAGGAATTGGACGGACGGAGAGAGGAGTTGTGGACGGATAAATTTTGAATGAGATGACCGCATGCATGCACTGACTGATCCCTTTGAGAGATAATGGCAATTCAATTCCATCTTGGCTTGATGGGTATGATGATGAGTGGGCACTTATTCGAATTATTATTGCCAACCAAACCAAACCACCGATTTCCTCTCTCCCACCACTGCAGATATTTCGAACCAAACTTCATCTTCTTCTCGTGTACACACACAACGTGCATCCATTCCATTCATCTCTCGTCGTCATCCCATTAATTTCTCGCCCATTATTTAGTGGACTAATATGCAAATCTAATCTGCCAACTGGTGCTCGTACATGCACAATCTGCACGGCACTCAAATTTTAACTATGAGACGACTGTACATACATTTTATTGTAATCAATAAGACGGCAGCATTCGTGGGGCTGAACTTGTTTTATGTTTTACTCCAGATCTGGAGGACCTCAAATTTCAATTTTTGCCAAAATCGGCACATTTTTAGTAATTAATTTAAAAATCTCATGAATTTATTTTAAAATTCTGTACAACAAATTTATTTTAGTCAGTGAGTTGTTACCAATTAAAAAAATATACACTCCAGATTTTGATGGCTTTTGAAAGAGGAGATCTCAATTTTAAGAAGCCTTCAGAAAAATTGGAGCTCATTCGAAAAAAACTCTATAGATATTCTATTTATCAACTTGCTGCTAACAAATTTCTCATGCAGAATCTGAAATAAATTTCCAGAGCTGAGAAATCATTAAAAGTATGTTGTTTTGGGCAATTTTGGCGAAGAATCAAATAAGATAATGAATAAATGAATAAATATGATAACCAAAAGATTTCAAAACGTTTAAATTGTGATTAAAAGACATACGCAGAAGCAAGTTCTGATCAATAAAACAGCAATATTTTGTCTGATCTGGAAGAAAATTTTCTGGAATGAAATCTTAAGAAAAATGTGGATCAAAGGTGAAGAATTTGTAAGAAAATGGGAGGAATCTGCTCTAAAATTAGACAGATGTGTGCCCCCAGTTTCTTCTTCTTAACACGTAATAAAAATATCCAAGCAGGTCGTCGTCGTCCTTTACTTCAGTGTTAGAGCAGAAATCTGGGACTAATTGTAATCGTCAGGTAACAGTTCAGTCAGGGAAATAAACACTTTTTCTGAGGAACAAGAGCAAGCATCATGATCCAGATAATCGCCAATAATCAATAGGATATCATAACCAATGATTGGATTTGATGGATGCCTCGAAGCAACCAGAATTTCTGGACCGACCGACCGACCCTGTGTGTACAATTACCTTAACTCTATTTTATTTAGACTAGCTTTTTATTATGTAACCTTTTTTTACGTGAAGAAGGGCCAGATTGAGACCGATGGATGATAGATCTCGTTAACTGGAACGGATTGGAGCAGATTCCAGATGAACAAATCTGTTACACGTTTTTTTTTCTTCTTGTTCCTTTTTTCTCCTTCTTCTAATCGTAAGTCTTGTGTTCCGATCACAATTACGATTATTTCGATCATCATGATGATTATCGAGGCCTGTGGCTTGGTTTGGTCAAGGCAGGCATTAAGAAAGTCGTAAAATGGGGAAGAAAGTGAGGTAAATTGGGTGAAATCAAATCGACGCACACATTTACAAATAAATTTTGCACTTAACCCGTAAATAAAAAAGCTTGTATTTATATCTCACCCCCAAAAAATATGTGCAAAATATATTTCCACGCATTTATCTCCATATTACCTAATTAATTGAAAAAAGTTAACCAATTTCCGCACGGCGTGAGACTCACTCAAACAAATATTAAATCGAATTTAACTAAATTCCTCGTCTCATTTACAAAAATTCCTTGCATGTTATGAAATTTTAAAATATTAAAAGTATAAATTGAATGAAATCCATGTACATATGTACAAAATATGTTTTGCATTATTTTCTCGCGAGGAGTTTATCCATCTCATTAAAAATTTATACGAAAATTTATCAATTCACATACGGCGTGATACTAAAAAAATGAATATTACTAAAATTTTGATAAAATTCTAGTTTCATTTATTCATTAGAGGTTATGAAATTCTAAAAATATTTTGATTGAAATTGATACATATTTAAAATATATTCCTATTAATTAATTGAGCATTGCAGGAAGAACACCTAACTCAGAAAAAATATGTACAAAAGTCCATAAATTATCAAGCGGCCTGATACCAAATTGAAAAATATTAAATCGGATTTTCATAAAAACCTCATCCCATTTATTACTTGCATTTTATGAAATTCTAAAATATTTATAAATTGTGCGAAATCGATGTCCACATGTACAAAATATTTTTCCTTCATTAATTGTGCAGCCCCATTATATCTGACTCATTAAAAAATATATACGACAATTAATAAATTTCTACACGGCGTGATACTCGCTCAAAAACTATTAAATCCAAAATTTTAGTAAACTCCTCGTGTGCGTTTCATACATAATATTCCGAATGCCATGGACTAAATTTGTCTTGGGTGAAATCGATACATGCGTAAAGCATATTTGCATTAAAGATCGTCGTCCCGTTTACCTAAATCATTGAAAAATATATACAAAAATTCATCAATTCACAATCAGCGTGATAGTCACTCATAGAACACATGAATCAAATATTCGATGAAATTTCGGTTTTATTACATACAAGTGTGAGACTCGTATGAAATTCCAAATAAATTTATAAAATAGGTGAAATCACATGTATAAAAAAAATTTAGGATTACACATTTCCGAATTTTCTACATTTCCACATTTCCATCGGAAAAATATGTATGAAAATTCACCACTTCCCACACGGCGTGATACTCACTCCAAAAACAGTGAATCAAATATTTAATAAAATTCCGGTTTCATGTAAGTATTTTCTTATTCCTTCAATATTATGAAATTCTAAAATATTAAATTCATTTCGATCCCTTAAAGTGAAGTTGATCTTTTTCCAGAATCAATTTAATCGC